TTCCGTAAAGAACGAGCAGATTAATTATGTAGCAAATTCATTTGGTACACCTTGCAACTTGTTTGCCTATACACTTCGTACTCTTCCCATACGCTTCTTCCCAAATGGGAAAATTCCTGTACATTTATAGGAATTTTCACTTCCGATACGATGTATAGGAAATTTCCTGTACATGCGTATAGTAGAATTCCCAACATTTTTTACATTGATAGGTCGGGCCGTAGGCCCGAACAGACGCCGCCAGCAGCCCAAGCTAGGCCCGGCCCCTGCCGAACGGAGTTGCCTATGCGGAGCAAAGTGAAGCTGTTAAAAATGCTGTTGTCAGAAGTGTTAAAAGCACGGTTTTTTGGCTTTTCAGAAGACTATTTTTACAAATCTCAATCCAAAATCGATCTTGAAAGCAGATAATAGAAATTGAATGATAGGTGTGATCCTAATTTTCTCTTCATTATTTAGAGTAAAAGCTAGCTAACATCTAAAAGTTACTCATATATTCTTTGTTTATAAACAAATCTTTTCTAACTATAGGAAAGCTCTAAGAAAAATTACAAATTTCTGTATCAAATTTGTTACAGTTTTCTGTATCCGGGCACTGTGATACACCAAATCTTGTAAACATTACAAATTTTTGAATTTTTTCAAAACTTTATATTCATCTTATAATTTTCTGTAATCTGATCACACATTTCTGTAAACGGGATACAAATTTCTGTAACATGGAAACAGAAATCTGTATGTCCGATGTCCGTTCAAAACTTTGCGGTTTTAACGTTCAATTTGAACACGATATGAGTAGCAGGTAGACTGAATCTAGCACTATCTACGATAAAATCAATTTTCAAAGTATTCACATATAAATCCCATCATAGCTAACAAAGGGAAAGGCTCAGGGGCCAGCCAAGACGTGGGGAAGAATGACACCGGGTCGAAGCACGGCTGCTCGCAGGTAGTCGCCTTAGCCGCGTGGGCTAAGGCGTCGAACTTCAACCCAGTGGCGAGAGGGCGCCGCTTGCTGCACGACTTTCCCACATTATCGGCATGGAGAAGTTGAGCACTGCATAAGCAGGCCTGGCCTCACGCGCGGGTGCGGCTGCAGGCCAGCGCGCGCACGCGCGGGGGAGGGGGGGGGGGCTTCCCTTTCGAAGCAGAGCTTTCAAAATGTGAGTCAAGTCAGGGGGTAGAAACGAGGCGCTCCGGCCGTCCACCATGCGCGCCCCCGGCCGCGCG